ACAAAGTTTGGATGTCTTCTTTGAAGACATCAAGGGGGGGGGGCTGCTGTTTGAGCTTGGTGAGCTCAATGGCGGGGATGGGACTTATCTTGGCTAGTCTCTATGCTGTGGCAGGTAGTGCAGATATAACAGGTTTTGTTGCTGAGTCCCATTGCAAACTCAGGTAAGCTATAACCTATCTGACTTGCCAGTGCTGCAGATCATGCGATTACAGTGCTTGGGGGGAAAGATGCACTGGTGCCACACCTGGACCAACAGTCAAGAAGGAGAAGCTGGCTTGGGTCCCATGGGTGGTCAAATTGGGGCCAGCCAGGTTCTCACAGTCTTTAAGACCATGAGAACTTGGGGACAGGGACTTGCCCATTTCTTGCTTAAGGGGTCATTTGAGACCTCTGCGCTTTAACCTGATTCCGCACTACGGCAGGACCCCCCTCTGGCAAAGGATGGCAACATTGATTATGTTTCATAAAGTGTGGCCCATGATTAATCCATAATTATTGTCTCGCATCTTCATTCTGTGGTTGGGAGGGCAATGGCCGCTCCCTTGCAACATTGCCCCTCCTTTGAAAACACACCCTTTCTTGACAGACAAAGACCCCCAAAACAGAAAATGAAGTCAGGCAAGTACAGAACACATTAAATAAGTGCCCTTTTTTTGTATCCTCCCCTCTCAAAACAAAAATGTTCCACCCCAAAACAAATGATAAAGTCATGGAAAGAAAAGTCAGAGGAATGAAGGAGGAGGAGAGCAAAGCAGCTGCTATAAAAGCCAGAAGCAGGGAGGGCTTGGTCCTAAGGAGAAGCAGAGGCTCAGCCGGCCAAAGTTCAGCAAGGGAAATGGAGGGACATAGAAGAGATGTTCATCTGGCCTGGCAGATGACACAGGGACATCATAGCAAAAGGAGCAGAAAACTCAAAACTGTGACTCTAGTCAGAGATAGCATGTTCGGTGGGGTTCTGAAATACTTGGGGGGGGGGAGGAACCAAGCATTTTTCCAATTATAAAACATCCATTGATGCAGCTGCAATATGTAATTGTACGTTTTTATAACCTTAGATGAAGTAAACAAATCTAAGGTACAATGCCGGGACCTTGGTTATGAAGTGGTTAACAGTAAGAAAACACACACACACACACACACACACACACACACACACCCCTCTCCATCAGTAACAAAAATAGAGAGCTAGCTCTTTTTTATCTCTCTCTGTCAGTGACTCGGAATCATGATTTGATCTTTCAAATACTGCAGCTTTTATCTCTGACATTTCTTCCACATCCAACGTTCGTTCTCTTTATTTCTCACTGAAAGAGCATTTCATTCTGAAGCATAGATATTCTTTTGTGACTTTTATTTGAATGTTACCTTTGAGCAGATCTCTCTTCCCCTCCCTTGCAAAGGTATTGCCTCTGGAATTTATTAAATATTTACAATTCAGTACTCCAAAGGCTTGAAAATGCAAAGACAAACAGCAGAAGTCACATTCTTATAGTGGGTTTTAGGAGAATTATTGTATCTGCAAAATCTATGCCCGGGTGGGCGATCTTGAGCCCCATCCCTATTCCTTGTGTGTATCACTTAAAACAGTCCCAGCTAGTGTGGCCAGTGGTAAGAGTTTGGGGAACTATAGTCCAGAAGATCAGATAAGAAAATATTTTCCCTGCTGAAATAAAGCAAAGAGCATCTATCTTCAGCTCTATCATTGTGATGGTCATAAGAAGAATCCTGCTGGATCTTATCAAAGACTGATGCATAAAATAACTTATCAATTGCAAAGGTTAGTGAATGCAAATAAAGAAACAGATTATACCTTTAATCGACCATTAAGAATATAAAACAAAAAAACAAAAAACAAAAAAGCAAGCTGATAAATCATCTTCAAGGCTGTGCATCAAGTTCTTATGGTTAATGCTGTTATTAATGTCCCAAATTCACATGGCAGTGTAGAGGCCAGGTTAGCTTCTCAGATTGAAATAGCTGCGGCATGCATGTTGAATTCAAGCTCCTCCTGAGCTAGCAGATTGGAATTGATGGCCCATCTCTTTAAAAAGAAGACAGTCACAGGCAATTTGCCCTCCCCCTTCTCCCAGTCTGCCTTTTTGAAACTCAGACATGACCTGCCTCTAACAGAGTAGGGATGGGAAATGTAGTTAAACCACCAGGAACAGTCAATTTAAGCCATGTTAAAGCCAAATAAATGGTTTCACCTGGTCTGGTAGATGCTTTCTTTAGCATGCAGTACTGCTTGTTTAGTGCCAGGACGCCTACTCCCACCAAAATCTACCTCTATCACTGGATTGAGTCAGGAGGTGAGGCTGAGGAAGTCTGAGGAACCTGACGCCGAGGGAGGTCCGGAGGGAAAAAAAACAAGAAACTGAGCCTTCTTGGTGGTAGCTCCTCGCCTCTGGAATAATCTTCCTCTGGAGATCCATGCGGCCCCTTTGCTGGGCATCTTTAAAAACCAATTGAAAACCTGGATGTTTAGGCAGACTTTGTCTCCCAGCAACCAGTAAGTAGAAGCACATTGCCATCTCAAGCCCGCAGGCTGCCATATAATCACTGTGACTAGAACCTAATAAAAGATTTCAGTAATGATCCATTACCCTATTCCCCATACATACCAAAAGAACACATAACCCTTAGCAGTCCTTGCCATGATTGACACATACATGCTTACACCGAACTCTGTCTTCTTTACCACTCCTGTAGTGGATGCCATCCAGATGCTCAAGTATTGTCTGGCATCAGTACTGGAATGCACCAAGACAAATAGGCTCTAACTGACAAAACAGAGGTTGTGTTCCTGGGAAGGTCTGTCAAAAAGTGTGGGTGTGTCCCTAGGCTGGATGGTGTTGCCCTCCCATTTAGGGACCAAGCTCAGAATTTGGGCATGTTTCTGGACGCATGTCTTTCTTGGGATGCTCAGATCTCAGCCATGTCCAGATCAGCCTTTTACCAGCTTAAGCTAATTGCCTCTACCTGGACAATGTCTCCCTCAGGATATTGGTGCAGGCATTGGTCGTCTCCCAGATTGACTACTGCAATGCTCCCTACATGGGGTTTCCCTTCAGACTGATTCAGATACTTCAGTGGGTCCAGAATGCAGTGGCCAGACTGGTGATTGGTGCAAGCAGATATTATCACATCACCCCAGTTCTGGCTTGCCTCCACTGGCTACCTGTGGAGTCTCAGAACAGGCTCATGATTTTGACTCTCATGTATGAAGCCCTCCATGGTTTGGGCCCACATTACTTATCAGAGCATCTTTTTCCAATGTCAACTGCTCAGCCAACCAAGTCATCTCAAATGAAGCTCCTCTGGGTAGCCACCCAGAGGAAGGCTCATAAATCTTCTACTAGACGTAGGGTCTTCTCCGTGGTGGCCCCAACTTTGTGGAATCAGCTACCAAAGAAGCTTCACATGGCCTCCTCCAAGGTGTTGTTTACAAAGTAATTGAAGACATCGCTCTTTCAGGAGGCCTTCAATTCTGACCCTAGTTAGAACTGCAAAGCTGGAAGGGACCCTATGGATCATTGAGTCTAGCTCTTGTCAAGAAAGCACAGTCGGGAATTGAACCTCCAACCTCTGGCTCCGCAGCCAAAGACCTAAACCACTGAGCTGTTGAACGAAGCATTCTTACATCTCTGTACAGTAATTTGATAGCTGTATTTTGGTTTCATTTTTTGTTTTATGTAGCTTTATTTATGCTCTGGTACATTCTGTTTCTATATGATTAGATGGTTTATGCTTTTATAGTAATTACTGGATTGTGTTTTTTACTGTGTACCACCCAAAGTACTAGTGAGAATGGCACTAGTGAGAATGATATATTAAATTGATTGATTGATTGATTGATTGATTGATTGATTGATTGATTGATTGATTGAATGAATGAATGAATGAATGAATGAATGAATGAATGAATGAATGAATGAATGAATGCTACTCAGTAGCTATAGATGACTCATTTCATCATTTGGGTATATTAGCTTTGATGATTCCTGCAGTGTGTACAGGTCTATGAAAATGTGGTCCTAACTGCTGGGTTCACACACTATTGAACTGAAGCCATAGTCATTTTATGCTTTAAGTCCTGTTTACAATGACCACACTCTGCCACAATTGTCCTGCTAAGTGCTTGTCATAATACTTGTGAGACCTTTATAAAACAGAAGGGGTATCACAAGTATTATCAACAGCACATGGCAGGACAGTTGGGCTGGAGGTACAATACAGAATTTGCAGGTTTCCTTTTACGTGTGGTCTGATAGCTTTTCAACAGGATTTTTTCTTCAGCCCAGAAATTCAGATGCAGCCTATCAGCCATGTACAGACAATGTGCCTGGAATTGTTAGACACCAGAGAGGCTGCTAAATGGTTGTGTCAGTCGGATATGACATTTTTCTTGGTAGATCACTACCTATGCAGGAGTGCCTATAGGGAAGGCCAATCTGAGACAAAAGATGAGACCATGCCCCCCCCTCCACTCCTTGTACGGCAGTTGACTAGCCTGGTAGTTGAACTTTCAGCACTGGTGACCCTGTGGGCAGCAAGGACATTTAGACAGTGGAAGATCAGCTGCTCAGAACACAACTGTCCTCCATGAAGAACATTACAGGAGGAGGAGTGGGAGGGCGCGATTGCCATCCCTCGTCATTCACTGCCTGAGGCAGTTACCTTACTGCAAAACAGTAGTACTGCTTCTAATTTCAAGTTTCTTTAAATGGAAGAAGATATGGCTATTTAAAGAGGGGACATTGCTTCATTTGGCAGCTCCTGTCTCCATGCAAATCCTGCTAATTTTTTACTGCTGGACTAAATCAGCTCTCAGAATGCAGAGAGACCTTGAAAACTTCCCCAGCTTTAATTAAGATCTCTACTGGTGTGGCCCAAGAAGATTACAGGTGGTCTTCAACCTCTGGGCCATTGTGGTATTATTATGGCAAAGTAGTAAAAAGCACAATGGAAAAAGAAATCACAAAAATACCTTTTTATAGAAAATGATAAATAGAGCATTTATTAACACTTTTTTTGCAGCAACAGAAGTGACACAGTCCACATCTCTTCACAGCAAAAGCTATGGCCACATTTTACATCACTTTGAGGCACAAAGCAAAATATAGAATTGATTTCTTTCTCCAGGTCAAGGTAGGATTCACTTAATTATCTTGTTGTTTCATAAATAAAGAAGAAGAAACGTAAAACCATTCTCAAGTTGTATATTGCAATAGCAGGGCTTTTAAATACTAGCACAATACAAGGAGCAGATCAAAAAACCCAGAATGGCTTTTCAACATATAATGATAGTTGTCTCATTGGAGTTGGGAAATGGATACTTGTTAGAGCATTAAGTGGTCTGGTATTATAAGGAAGTTTGTTGTTGATTGGTCTGGTCAGTTTTGCTTTTTAAAATTTATTCTCCCAACAGTCCCAAAGATCTACAACAAGTTCAGTGGTGATAGGTTACAAAGAGATTAAAAGAGCATGCACATAGTCGCGCATGGCACTTATTGCTTGGTACACACTAACATTATAATTCTTGTTCAATAATGCTTTAAAAACACAAGGCCATGAAACACTTTCTCAGACTTCGTCCATACCTTTAATTTGCACGTTCCACATTGCTTCTTGGCTGTAGCAAATGACAGCCTGCACATGCTCAGTGTGGTGGTTCTCAGTCAGGTGGAGGGGGAGAAGCTACAGTCTACCACCCTCTGAAGCCAATGATAAACCTTCCATGGATTGTGATGGATCAGAAATGCACGTATGCATTTTAAAAATAGAAACGACCTTCCTAAACCCAACCCCAGTTATATGCCACTTTGGGCTCTCTAAGAAGATCATTGCTCATATTCAGTGTCCATTATAATTCTATCTATTTTGAAAGACAAATACATTTTTAAAATTCAGACATCTGTAAAATAGTACTATTTTCTATAATTATACAGCATCTTCAATAAACTATTATTTTATTTATATAATTGTGGCACAGTATCTGAAAATATCAAAAGGGAAAAAAAAACCTACCCAAGATTAACAAATAGCTAATTTATTTTCCCTTTCTTGCATTTACTTCAAAACAAATACATCCAGTTTGTTCGAGGGTTTCTTGTTTGTATATTTTTCTTTGGATTGGTTTGGGCAATGCTTTCTTTCTAATGGGACTTCTCTCCAATAATTTACTTTACACAATGAGTATACCAATACTCTTTTGTCCTGGTTACATTATTCAACATTCTGTGTCAGACTAAAGGTGATTTTATACTGACCGGTACATACATGTCAGGAAGAACATGACACATACAATAATTGTATGAGTCTTGGAATAACAGAAATATAATAATTGTGCCTAAAAAATCAGTAAAAACAGCCAATTAATTCCTTTGTGACAGAGTAGCCTGCAGCATATAATCATGATAAATGCACATTGCTATCATAGACTGTTCTGTACTGTTCTGATTCATCTCACACAAAGGGAACTGGATCAGGTCTTTGCCATAATGTAAAACAGAAACCTTATTCTTGTCATCAACCAGCCATACTTTTTTTTCTTTTACATTGTACCAAGTAAACAAGTGGATAACTTCACACAATCAATTTTATGATTTCCTTTAACAGAGTGTAACAAATATGTAAGTGCATTTTTAAACAATCAAGTCATTTTGGCTTTCTAAACAGAATTGCTGGCACCCCAACTATGTTGGTAGTTGTGCTTTAATCCTTAATTATGAGCTTTCAGCTCATTTATACTGCAAGTACCTGGTTTCCTGTGTAATTTTGACCAGATTAACTCTTAAAACTCTACAGTATGGAGACACCCAAATGGAGGTGATAAGATGTCACAAACTGATACAGATTGCACTTGAATGCTTTTTTTTCATTTTTACAGTAAGACCTTCTTATCTGATATGTGTTTACATATTTCCACATTTGTGTGTGTGTGTGTGTATGTGTGCAAACAACCACAATGAATAAATCACAAACACTACAAAATCTATCCAGCATAGGACTGTTATGAATAATCTTCTCCTTCCTTGTAGCTATATGAGTCTTGTGCTTCTTCTTGTACAAATTCTTCCCTTTTCTCCCAGCCGTTTGGCCAGCCACCATTGACCTGGGTCATAGCACCATAAGATTTAGTGGTACCGTAATTTACATAATTCTGAGTAATGTCCCCGGTTTCTTCAGCAAGTTCATCTTCGTGAATGAAGCCACATTTTTCTTCACTTGTCTGCTCTGGGTCTGCCCATGGCTGTTTTTCTCCTGAAGCAAATATGCCATAGAAGATGACTCCACCATAATGTACCAAAGCAGCTATAAGGAAGACATACTGCCACTCCTCCCGTGTCTATGAGAAAGAAGATCAAAATATCAGAATAGTGTCTATGAGAAAGAAGATTGAAATATCAGAGAGCAACTTGTCTAGACTCCTTTACATTAAGGGTTACATGTGGCCCATCAGATATCGCTGGAGTGCTGTTCCCATCAACTATTACTATTAGCTGTCTTGGCTACAGTGCATGAAAGCTGTAGTCCAACAACATCTAAAAACCTCCTCCTGCACACTCTTACTTTAAAGCTTTTTTTTTCCTTTTAATTGTTATCTAAAAGACGATTAAAGCTGACTGTTGTTTATGGCAACAACATGTGGATGTTCACACTTTCACCCATCATGAATTCTCCTTCAGCGGTAGAAATGCAATCTCAGAGTCCCACCAAAATGTTGTTTTCCATGCTGGAACTTCTGAAGAAGGATATTGAAGTCAAGGTATTTGGAAGAAAACGCAGGTTAAGCATTATATCATCATCATTGAACTGCAAAGCTGGAAGGGACCCTATGGATCATTGAGTCCATCCCCTGTCAGGGATGCACAGTGGCGAATTTAGCTCACAACCTCTGGCTCCATGTTTGTTTGTTTAGTTATTAAGTTGTGTCCGATTCTTCGTGACCCCATGGACCAGAGCACGTCAGGCCCTCCTGTCTTCCACTGCCTCCCTCGCAGTTGGGTCAAATTCATGTTGGTTGCTTCGGTGACACTGTCCAACCATCTCGTCCTCTGTCGTCCCCTTCTCCTCTTGCCTTCACACTTTCCCAACATCAGGGTCTTTTCCAGGGAGTCTTTTCGTCTCATGAGATGACCAAAGGATTGGAGCCTCAGCTTCAGAATCTGTCCTTCCAGTGAGCACTCAGGGTTGATTTCTTTCAAAATGGATAGATTTGTTCTCTTTGCAGTCCAGGGGACTCTCAAGAGTCTCCTCCAGCACCTCCATAGCCAGATGCATAAACTACTGAGCTATCCCATGTGCCATCAAGTCAATTCTGACCTATATTACCCTTTTCAGGTTTTCAAGGTAGAGCAAAGAAGTGGTGTACCATTCCCTTCCCTTATAACAGCTTCAAGTCTGTGCCCTTGCTCAATGCAGAATTCCAAATTGAAGTGTATCTGACAGATAGCTGTCTAACTCTCTCTTGAAGATTTTCATCATTGAAGCCCTCACCACCTCCCAAGGTAACTAGTTCCATTGTCAAACTGTTCTAAAAGTTAGCAGTTCTTTTTCTGATATGCAACCAAAACCTGGCTTCCTGTAACTTGAGCTCAGTATTCTCCCTCTTTTCCTATGATCAACTCACATTAACCTTGTGAGGTGTAAAAACTACTCTGAGTTGACTTTTGGCATTCCAACAATGCAGTATACACGCTTGTTCTCCATCCTTGCACAACAGAATGGCAATATTGTTTGTTGAGACTGGATTATTTCTAACTATTTTGGAAATACATTGTAATGAAACTCACCTTGTTCTTTGTCATTGCTCCAACGATGATGGGACACACCATTCCAGACAATGTACCAACTCCATTTGAAATTCCCATTAGGATGCTGGCATATCTTGGGGCAATATCTAAGTGATTAACATTGAATCCTGGAACAGAAAAGTAGACTTATAAACTGGCCAGAAAAAAAGACACTGCATCAGCTAAGGGTTTTATTTTATTTTAATGACTACTGCCAGAAAGCTGACATTGATGGAATGTGAAAAGTTAACTTACCAGATATAGCAAATCCACTGAAACCTACTGCAAGCACTAAGAAGGAAATGGCCACACCTCTACTGTGAGAATATCCAACCACCAAGAGAAGAGTTGCTTCCATTCCAAAACCTTGGAAAATTTAAAGAAAGTGTTAACATTCCTAATTGTTGTAGACTGATTCTCATTTTAATAATCAGCCTTGTCATCAACCAAGAGATGTAAATTTAGAGTTGCTTTATTTTAGGATTTTCTGTATATTGAATATTTGCAAAGATCCCAGTCCTCTTAACTGGTAACATATGCAGTGGCATGGCACCAACACATTGTTTAGTAGTTTGGATAAGTGTGTCCTGCTTTTCATTAATTGTTAGGGCAATTTATATAGTCAAGGAATAGAAAAGCAAATATAAGATTTTTGAAATAAAGAAAAACACACAACAAAATACATTTATCATAGTAGGATGGCTTCTTCCCATAGCACCTGAATTATACTTTAGAAACCCATGAATTCATAAGATAGGACTCATAGAATCACAGAGTTGGAAGAGACCACATGGGCCATTGAGTCCAACCATGGAGGAACTCCATGCTAGCCTGCTCTTGACAAGGTGAAAACAGTCTTCTTCAGGAGGATGTTCCACAGAATAGAGAGATGGACTTGTATAATGATCAGCCAAGCCACAGATATGATATTTTGGGGTAGTGCTTTAACTTATGTTCTGAATAAGCAGGAAGATTTACATGGACGTGAATGCTGCTCAAGGTTCAATGACTCAAGATAGTGTAGGGTTTTAAAGGTTACAGATAGCAGGTTGAATTTTGGATGGGAATGGTCTTCTCCAGTTTTAGATAGTAGCCAAGTCAAGGTGTCTTTCCTGGATGTTCACGCTATATCTGCCCGTGCTGCACAAAAAAGTGCAGGTCATGAGCACAGTTTTGGCTTCAGTACAGCAGTTTGCGAGGCTCCTTAGCAGTGGGCATGCCATTTCCAAATATTAATCAAGGATACATGGAAGCACGAGGACCTTGCATGTAAATCTGAAGGACTACCTGGCTCAAAGTTAAATCATACACACAGTCAATGTAGGGTATCATCTTTGATATCAGGAGTAGATACATGTGTTCTATCTACCACACAGTAAGACTGTCTGACATGAAAACTCCATGCACTACCATGTGTACACAGGCCAGATTTGTGCAGCCTTTCTCCTCACTGTGCATTTGAAAATTGTGTCAGAATTATCTTAGGTGTGTAGTTAAAAAAGTGACATGTGCTCTGCCACACAACCGGGGCTGATAGTCAGGGAAGTGAGCAAGGTAGCCTCTTGGTAATGTAGCTACATCTTCTGATCACAACAGAACACTACTTGTTGTCACAAAACCATTATAAAAAAAATCACTGGTGACCTAAGCTCATTTCCAGTAGTGATATTTCTCTTCCACAGACCATGGGTGGCAGCCTATATTTACTTAGAGCTAGCTGCCCAGTTTGAAAAGGATGCTGGCCAAGAACAAAAGATTGCATAAAAGATAGAGACACATACATCTAGGTAAACCAAGATGCTAATCATTTCCCTGTGTCTAGTGTGGAAGCACTGTTACTTGATACTACCACCCATATCAAGGGTCCATGCCCTCTTCAAACTTCAGAATGCAACATAGTATATAGCTGGCAGAAATGTCCTACTGTATTTTCTGAAGGACAAACTGTAGTGATATCTGAAATGTCAATTTTCAACAGCCTATGGGTATATAGTTCATTTCCAGTTCACTTCCTGGGCACTCTGTCTCTGACCTCAAAGTTGCCATCCTTGAAAAGGAGAACTTCAACAACAGATTTTTGAACGGAAAATTTTCAGTAAAAGGAAATAACTGGACAAGAATACACAGATATGTTCAACTATTCATACTGCAGTTTAAACAGGAATAAGGACTTCTTATCTCATTATAGAGGCTAACTACTTAATCTATGCAAGCTTGTTCATATTGCCATTGCCGAACACCTATTTTTATGAAACCTGTTTAGGTAGTGTTTGCATTTCTATTTCCTCTGTGATGTTGTCTGTAAGCTTTAAATTTCTTTTCTCTCTGGCCTTGCTGAGAAGCTAAACTTTGTTATACTTGGTTTGGACAAAGACTCTTAATCACTGTATATGTGTTTATCTCTTTATCTGTGCTAGAATGTCCTCATCACCTTTCAGTCACTGAAATTCAGTAAGAGCAAGGGTGGGCACCAGGGATGGGGCCTCAAGTCTTGAGACTCACAATCATGTCAGACTTAATTTGCACTGGTGACTTGACTCAGATTTGACTCTGTTTGTTTGTTTGTTTCAGTGACTTGGACTCAATGTGTGACTTGAACTTGAGGCTCGCGACTCAGGACTTGGTACCAAAAACTTGGCCTCGAATTTCAGTCTGAGTACCAAAGACTTGGCCTCGAACTTCAGTCTGAGTACCAAAGACTTGGACTTGGGATTTGGACCCCAAGACCTGCCAACAACCCTGATGGGCACATTCTAAGGGTCCAGACATTTTTGCCTTCTAGGGAATCTTGAAGGGCTGCATGAACCTCTCACTCCCTCAGAGTAACCTCAAAGATGTTTGGGACCTGGCACTTGCTCCCATATGCTCCTGGGAGAGTGAGCAGCACCTTGCACCCAATTTCAATTTATCTGGTCTTTCAAAGCTAACGAAAGGGCTTTTTTTAAAGAACAGAACAGGAACTGAGTAGGCAGACACTTCCAGTTTTCAAAACAGGCCGTTTATGATGTATTACTACCCTAGGGAAGGGAAGCAGTAGATTAAGTAGTTAGCCCCTTTCCATGCTTCTGAGGGATGCAGTTTTCATTTGGTTATAAAATGTTTTCAGGATTTTGGGAAGCTCTGAGGAGGCTTGGGGGGTCTGCCGTAGGCCCCTTAGAGGATCACATGCAGCCCCAAGACAGCCTTTTGCCCAGCCCTGACTAAGAGCATCACTTCTTGGCTCATTTAATATTTCCATTCCTTCTCATTCCCTGCAGGATATAATGTCTGAGTGTTCAGCAGCCTGACATCATGCACTCTGTTTAGCTGATCAAGTGAGCTGCAGTTCACAGTGCTTGTCTGTATAAGTATAATAGTTTCCAAAATGGACTGTTCTAACCCTCTCTACAGAGGGCTGCCCTTGAAGCTAGAACAGAAGCTACAAGAGGCCCAGAAATACAGCAGCCAGACTAATTATAGGTACCCACAGATATGGTTCATCTCCACTCTCCCTGTTTGTTTCCATACTTAATTTAAGGTGCTGGTTATTACCTATAAAGCTCTAAATGGTTAAGAACCCTGATACCTGGTGGAACATCTTTCCTACAAAACAGGTGCCCATCCAAACCCTTTCCTCACACTTGCTATTATTATTGCTTGTCCTTCTGCAAGCAGGGGGACCTTTGTCTGCAGGAAAGCTTTCTCTCAGACTGACTGCCTGAGTTGGGTTTTTAAATGGAGTGTTCTGCCTTACCGCTTTGAATGTGTTTTTGGTAGTGCTTTTCGTTTACCATTTCTTAGAATGGTATTTGTTTGATCCATTTTAGTGTTTCTATACTTATTGTTTTTAGCTTTAAATATTGGTTTTTAATTGTGTAAGCAATCTTTATCTACTTCTTATTTTTAGCTTTAAATGTTGTCTTTTAATTATGTAAGCTGCCCTGGGTCCTTTTTAAGGAGAAAGGAGGGATAAAAATATTTTGAATAAATAATAAATAAATGCATTAATACCTAAGGAGGCAAAAAAGATTATCACCAGAAACTACACATTTGGTTATGGTTAGAGATGGGCATGAATTGAAAAATGAATTGCAAAATTCATCAAAAATCATTAATTCATCAATCCATATTCATACTAATCAATGCCCCCTGACAAATACAAATCAATGAATTTTAGTGATTTTTGATTTGCCAATTCATTGGGCTATAAAATGGGTCCTCAGGCAGTTAGAGACACCAAAATTACAGAGAGGCTTCCTCCAACTCTCCTCTACAGTTACTCCACAATTGGTGAAGATTGGGTTTCAGTTGTTCAAGTTATACATCCATAAATAGGGCCCCCACAGGAAGGTTCCCACAGGCACCTAAGAGAAAACAAAACCATAGAGAAACTTTCCATGACTCTACAATATCTCCCAAGCTGGTGAAGATGGATTTCTCCAAGCCAGCTGTAAAAGGCACTTTCCTGGGGGAACACCATCTTGGATGTCTGAAACCTAATCTTCATCAAACTTGGAAGGATTTTAGAGGAAAGTCAGGGAAAGCATCTCTGTGATTTTGATGTCTCTAGGTGTCGTGGGGGTGCTTTCCTGAGGGCCATTTTTGTGGATATATAACTCAGATGTCTGAAACCCAATCTTCATCAAACATGGAAGGATTTTAGAGGAGAGTCAGGGAAAGCATCTCTGTGATTCTGATGTCTCTAGGTGCCGGGGGGGTGTGCTTTCCTGAGGGCCACTCTTTGTGGATATATAACTCTGATGTCTGAAACCCAAACTTCATCAAACATGCAAGGCTTGTAGAGGAAAATCAAAGAAAGCTTCGGTGTGATTTTGGTGTTTCTAGGTGTGGGGGTATTTTACAGGGTTTTAAAGGCAAAAATGAATTTAATCGATTCATTGATTTGTCAGAAAAAAATGACAAATTCTTGTTTGTGACTCATCAACCTTGATGAATCACGAATAAAAACAAATTACATTTTTTTCTGATTCATGCCCATCTCTAGTTGTGTCCCCATATGTATGAAAGAAATTCCCAGCAAAAGTTCACCAGGGCCCTCCCTTTCAGTTTTTTAAAAATATAACAATCATGTGCTGTGAAGTCAATTCCGACTTATGCCAACCCTTTTCCGGGTTTTCCTGGTAGAGAATATTCTAAAGTATTTATTATTCTATTCCTCTGTAGGCCCTCAGGGACTCTGAAGCTTGTCCAAAGAGTTATTAAAAACAAAATTGTTCAAAGTTGCCTTTAATTAATGAGTATTACACAATGTGTATTTGTGCTTTAGATTTGTTTAATTGATTTAAGTTTCAGTGAGTCACGTGGTTCCTTCATGGTTTATTGCTTATTTCTGTTGATACTTATGTTCTAATTTTTTTGAATTATTTATGTTGTTTCTTAATGAATAGATAATGCATATCACACTATTGGGTAGTATGAATGAATGAATGAATGAATGAATGAATGAATGAATGAATGAATGAATGAATGAATGAATGAATGAATGAATGTGCATTTCTCTGTATTTGTTGACCTCTTAACATACCAAGCAAAAAGAGCTAGATAAATTTTTAACTAACTGGGAAAACAGATATGGAATGGTCTGGTTTGTGTGTTTATTTTTAAAGACTATGTGGTATACGCAGGAATCACCAGGGATTCCTCAAAAAATTAGTCTTGAGCATCTGGATGGATTTCTCATCAAATTTGTAGACTGTGTTGGGGGTGCTGTGATTTAAAAGACAGAATATTTTGCATATACAAAAATCAACTAGATGTTCAGGGCAGCCCAACTAGTTTCCCCTAAACAGTGAAGCAGATCTAATTTCTTCTAAACAGCTTGTCAGATTTTCACCAAATGTGGAAGGTTATCTTTGGGGTAGTCTTCTTTAATGTACAGGCTATATAGTGTACACAAAAAACATTATGAGTGCCCTTGTGGATATGAATTATTTTGTGTTGCCTACAGAGCTATGTGGCACATCGTTTTATATATTTTAATAGCCTGAGTTGAGAAACAAGCATGTTCTGAACTTTTGGACGACAGGCTACAAATATTCATTCATCAGAAGGATTACTCCTTGGGTGTGTTTCAAGATTAAGAAAGAATGCCCAGGGCGAAAGGAAGAAGGAGATGACCAAACAAACAAATACATCTTGCCCCTCTTCTCCAACATCTTTATGACAGTAACTGTAAACAAAAGCAATGGTTAGGATATGGCGTGAAACATCTGTTATCTGAATGTTATATACAGTACTATACAGAGGTCAAAAGGATGCTTAAAACCTGTTTAATAATATTCAAAGGCTTACCTCCACAATTCATTATCTTTCTGACTACAGTGGTTGAAAGAATTTGCCTGCTTCTCAGAAAGTCTGCAATTTGTCCCCCAATAGGCACAATAATAGTCATCACTAAATGTGGCACAGCAGATAGCATGCCTACCTAAGTTCAAAATAAGAAACATTTTTAATCAAATATGTTGACTGAAAGAATAACGAGGGAGAAGAACATTTCAATAATTTCTAATCAAATAATGTCATCATTTCAGAAAGAAGAGAAATCTGGCTTCTTCTAATTCTTAGGTAGAAACATGCTACCAGTTCACAACAACAAACCACTCATTTCCATCTCTATAATGTGTGGGGACAAGCAGGTGGATTTTGGAGGCAGACTTGTGTGAATGGCATGGCCTATTTTGCATCTTCTAATTATAATTATGCCTACTATTCTCAGCTGCAGTGGAAAAAGGTCACCCATCATCGGTGCCCCTGTAAAATTTAACAGCCATTTTGATCATTTTCCACACATGGAATGGGAAGAGGTGATATCATGTCCTTTCCTCAGGTGGTAAAATGCCTTGGGCAAGCACAGTTTTGAGATACCTTGTTACATCTAAGAACCATCCAAGAAACCTGGCAAAAAGATTTCAATGTACAAAGGATATATCATTGCATAGACAAGCACCTGACAAGATCTCTGTTCACCTCTCATACCACAGCTTGCTATGGAGAGAACCCTTCTGAACGTGCTTGGCATGTAGCTGATAAATGTAAGAAACCTGGCAAAAAGATTTCAATGTGCAAAGGATATATCATTGCATAGACAAGCACAACTTCAGTTCCTTAAAAAAAAAAAAACACAAGTCATAGCTTTTCTAACAGCAGGTAACTTTTCAGTTAGGGCATGCCTTGCAGTCTATTGTGGGTCTTGAGAAGGCAGCTAGGTGAATGGAGAGAGAGTGTGAACAACAGCTAGTAAGTAATAGTCATACGTTTTGAGGTACCTAAAAGAAACTTTTAAGTAAATTTTTAAAGTGTAGCTACTTTAAAAATTTAAACTATAATAGTAACTAACTACTATTGGATATTAGAATCACAGCACAACCATTTTTTTTCTTAAAGTAGATATCCCAACTCTGGCCTTTATACAGGTGACACAACCAATTGTTTTTTTCTTAAAGTAGATATCCCAACTCTGGCCTTTATACAGGTGTTATGGCAGTTTAAACACACACACTTACAAATATATCCATGATACTGAATGTTCTGATAGAAATATCTAAAATCACTGCAGGGAAAATATTTATAATAATGTCCCATCACATCAATTCTGATTTATTGCAACCATTTTCAGAGTTTTCAAGATACAGAGTACTCAGAAGTAGAGATGAGCATGAACCACTGGATGATGGCCCAACAGGTGTTCAGCACCTTGCCCCTTCTTGCAAGCACCCATTCAAAGATAGTGCCCTGGCTTCCCTGCCCCACCTCCTCCGGGTGCTGCCTCTAAGTCGGTGCCTGCTGAAATGGATGGGGTGCCAAACCATGGAACACTCGGTGCCTGCTGAAATAATGGATGGGGTGCCAAACCATGGAACACTTCTTGGACTATCATCCAAACTAGCATGAACTTCTGAACTAGTTACTGCTCATCTCTATTCAGAAGTGGTTTATAGTTCTGTTCTTTTGGAGGCATCTTTCAACTCGCCCAGGACCACATAGCCTGTCTCTACTTGCAGAATCTATAGAAGGGAATTGAACTCCCAACATCTGACTCTGCCATAGAAGGGAGTTGAACTCCCAACATCTGGCTCTGCAGCCTGATACCTAAACCACTGAGCTAGCCAGCCAGCTGCAGGAAAAGATCCTTCAAGATCTTTTCTGCTTTGGGGCATTCTGAAAAATTCAAAGGGTGACCAGACATAGCTGCCTAGTGTTGCTCAGAGCAGCCACTGCAACCAAGTAGTCCCCGCAATATGGAGGCCTTGTGATTCAATCAGCTACATATGATCTGTGTGCCTGTTAGAGTTTGAATGGGACCTTAGGTTGTGCTATCAATTTCGGCAGACATTGGTAAACCATGATTTGTTCAAGAGTAGGAAAGTGTTTGAGGGACATGGTGACGCTAAGGGTTAAACTGCAGAAGCCTCTGTGCTGCAAGGTCAGAAGACCAAGCAGTCGTAAGATTGAATCCACGTGACAGAGTGAGCTCCCGTTACTTGTCCCAGCTCCTGCTAACCTAGTAGTTCAAAAGCATATAAAAAATGCAAGTAGATAAATAACATGGTGGGAAAGAAATGGTGTTCCGTGTCTAGTCGCGCTGGCCACATGACCACATACGTAAACTGTCTATGGACAAACTCTGGCTCTACAGCTTGGAGACGGGGATGAGCACCATGCCCTAGAGTTGGACACAACTGGACTAAATGTCAAGGGGAACCTTTACCTAGGAAAGCGTTCTGACAATTTTCGACATATCAGTGCAATTCCAATCAAATTAGCAGTAGAAATACGTTGCATGGAATGTATAGCATATACTGGTGTTGCAGCCAAGAGATAAAAGATAAGAAGTGGGGGGAAGTTGTGAATGGAGGAAGGTAGGCTTTGATAAACTGTTTCAGCAGGCAGGGCATATGGGAGGGGCATCAAACAACGGAATAAACATTGTTGGCCACTTTCTTAAAGAGACTGAAAATCTTCAAAATGAAAAACAACATGTTCTAGAAAAATGAGAAAGAGACTATTCCCCCTTTTGAGGCTGTATGACCTTCAAGGAGATCTGTGGTCTTATGTCCTGGGGACATTTTAGAAAGTGTTGTGTATGTCTTAGTCCAACTAGAATAGGCCCATTGAAACAAAGAATCTTGACTAAGTGAGTGAATAGGTAAATCCTGTTTATTCAATGGCTCTAACTCTAGTTGGAAACAACATTTGGATTTAGTCTATCTGAGCTGTGTGAAAAGTATTTTTCTGGTATTCCTTCAGGTAACATCCACATTCATTATGCAGTTGCTTGCTGGAAACACTCAGTTATAAAATTAAATAGGCAGCCAATTTTATTCACTTTAAATCAGTATAAGTACCTTGCTTATTTCAAATCCAAACACTTCTTCAAAGTAAGCTGGCTGACTAATAAGCAGCAGATAGAAAGTCCAACTTCGACAGAAGTTTGCAACAATTATTGCATAGACAGGCATAGAAGTAAAAAATTTTCTCCATGGAGTCTTGTATTTCTGAAACAAAGCAAGACAATACAAAACAAAAAAGGCAGTTTTAAATTGATGTTTTCCCCTTTTTATTATTTATCATGCAAACCATCTCATAATCATGCAAACCATATTTTCAATCAGCAGATTTCACCATGCATGCTTGCTCACATCTGTTGCTACATTTGCAAAGGTAAAAACTAATGCATGTATATTTGGAACACTAGAGCTGGCAGGAACATAAAGCAATGCATGTCCTTACGCCATGTACTAAAAATATTTTCAAAAATCCCTAGTATTTTCCCTACTTTAATCGCACAAGCTGCTATCCTAAAACTGCACTCACCCTTTTAAAAGGCCTGGAACTAAATTTCTCTGTTGGACACTATTGTGCTGAGATTCCTATTGTTTACTGAACTGATTGGGAGTCACAATTGTTATTATGAGTGTCCCTCCTTTCAAGATCAAGATAGTTTTAGATGCACATGGCCCAACCCTAGTTTGTATATATGGAAATAATGACCATTTTCAGTCCATCTCCCAGCCATCCTGTAACTTCATTCTCTCTGGAGATAAACACAGAAAAGTAAACACTGTGGAAGAGTCCTTACTTCCATTGCTCCAAGAAGATTAGCACTCTCTCCAATACTCTCTTCTATGTATCTGCGTTCTTCATCTGAAATTGTGGGATGCTTTGCAGGACTCTCATATGATACCAAAAGCCAAAACATATACCAGACAATACCAAAACTTCCTGCAGAATGTGTAAAGGAAAGAAGGTTTTAAATTGAAACACTCTTAAAAAGATCACACAAGAAGCAAATGATCATTAGATTCTTGCCATTATATCTTTTTTTTTTAGCTTTGGCTAACACTGGAATTGATGACATTCATACTCAGCAATGAGGTCCACTGAGTTCAGTGTTTTCGGCAATCCCTCACTTAGCTCCTCTGAAGCTATGTTCCACTGAGTCCTGAAGAAATGGATATGAGTTTGCAATAATTTGGCCATTTTTACAGAATTTGCATTAAACTTGGAAAGCTTATGCACTTCAGCAAATCCATGCAACATTTCACGTTGACTCAGCAAATTGTATTGGTTTTGTAAGAAGCAGAATGTATACTGGGAGAAATGTTCAAAATGTAATGCATATTAACCACAAGGGCTGGTACTGCAGTTCCACAACGACTGTAATCAAGAAATCGTTCATGAGCATGTGCACCTGAGGCGTCTTCTAAAGATTTCTTGGCAGTAGCATCTTCACCCAAAGACACAAGTGCCTGCTACTGCTGTATCTAAATTGGCTTGCTTCTTGGGCAGTGGGAAGTGATATAAAGGAAATGTAAAGATTCTAGCTTTCATCATTTCCTATCCTGCTCATATTTATTTGCCTTGGATTTTGGCAACTTCTGGCCTAGCTCAGCTCACAGATGCTTCCAACATCCATCCTCATTGAACTCTTTTCCTCCATGGGCTTCAGGTTTATAAAGAAGGGAAAGAAGAGGTGGATAGAAGGAGCAGGTTACATGAGGTGGCATGTCATCACTTCTCCAATTTGTGTGGGGCAGCCAACCATGTTAGAAGGACTGCACTACTGTAGCATGGGTTGCTGGAAATCCACATGTGAGGCAATGAACTGAAAAGAAAAAAGCCAGTAACATAATGCCTTGGGACACATCTTCATGGCAATATGTACCACTCCCATTAAATGACATGAAGTCCCTTTGTACTTCACATGGAGAAGTCAAACAGACTGGATGTCATCACTCTCCACTGCATTGAGGGCCACAGGCAGGCCTACGGTGCATAAGACTACTAACTGCATCACATATAGCTCTGCTACTCCTCTGTGTCTCCTGGCATCTGTAGTCTGATGTGGCTGATTTACTCTGCCTAATGGTAGGGCTGACCCTCTCTCTATATAAGAAGCATCCCTGTCATCAAAGGAGGATGAGACAAATCCATGAAGGATATGATTCATCCATGGCAGGTCATCTTGGTTTACAGCCAGAGTAGTGTTTCCAGCTCATAGCTCCCTTGAACTGCAACAAGGGTGGAGGAGCCGGAGGAGCAACGAGGGGTGCGGAATGGAGCAAGAGGGAAAGAATCATGAAGGAGCCAGAAATGGACCCAGAAGAGTCACAGCAGGAGCACCAGATCAGCAAAGAAACAGAGAAAAGATTCAGTTGTACTGCTAGCTGGGTTTGGCAGCACCCTGAGGCACCACAGAGGTTGCAGTGCACTATGACACACACTTTGGGAACCCCTGGTGTTGTTGATAGTGTGTCAGACAAGGATTTGAGAGACTTGGGTTCAAATCCTGCAGCTATGGAAGCTCACTCGGGGATGGCAAGTTAAACCACTCCTTGAACATCTCACATACGGAGGATAGCAGGTTAAACCACTCCTTGAACATCTCATATACCTCAAAAACTCTGTTGGGGCAGCTGAAAATCAGAACTATAAAACAACAACAGCAGACACTGTTGCTATATTCTAGCTTGAGAATCAGAAGTACTGTCATTCTGGATGCCATATGTTGGGAAACAGCAGAGAGAGAGAGGTTGCATCCACATCCTGCTTGTGGGCGGGGCCATTGAAAATCAGAAGTATAAAACAACAGCAGCAGACACGGTTGCTATATTCTAGCTTGAGAAACAGAAGTACTGTCATTCTGGGAAACAGCAGAGGTTGCATCCACATCCTGCTTGTGGGCTTTCAAAGGCATCTAACTGTCCATGGAAGGAAACAGGATGCTAAACTAGACAGGTCTTTGGCCTGATCCTGCAGTGCTCTTACATTCCATATTGCCCTCATGCTTCCAGTGTCCTAGGGCTATTGTCCTGTGCAAAGCTAGACAGAGGACTCCAGGCAGCACACTCTTTTTTCATGGGGGGGTGTAGCAGCACTTGGCAAGCTGAACACACTGCATAAGACAGCTGAGAGCTCCTTCCAACCCAGCCTGATGGCTCCCCTCACAAAAGTGAGGAATATGCTCCATAGATGTCTAATAAGGTGGAAAGGACATTGGAAAGGCTCTTTTTTTTACAGGTTTTTCCCCACTTCTTATGACTCTACCCTTATGAGTGAGGTGAAGAGTTAAAGCACTCTCTGGGCAGTTTATAAGTTAATTGTGTAAGCTTCATGTTGCCCTCCCTGCAAGCTAAGTACTCAGTTGACAGACCCTGAAAGAATGGAAGGCTGAGTTCTTGAACCAACTAACTGGGATTGATCGCAGGTAGTGAACAGAGTTTTGTCTGCAGTACAGCAATTTAACCACCTTACCACAAGGCTCCTTTTCTTACACTTCAGGCAGTGCAAGAAAAGAGATAACTGATGGGAGGAAGATACTCCTGACTCTCCTCTTCTTACTATCCACAGGAATGTGTGGCTAGAATGTGTCACCAGTTCCTTTATTACACATCCTATGGAAGTCTGGTGATAAATTCAAAATTCTCTGCCAGAAAACTCTGTGGTATTTCCCTGAACACAGCAGAGAATTCTAAGTACTCCACCAAATTACAGATCTCAGGAATCTGCAGGTAAGAGTTGTGGCAGTTAATGTGGAATCAAACTGTTACAATTCTGTAGTGTAGCTAAAGCTACAGGAGGCATGCGGGGGGGGGGGAATAGAAGCTTATCTATTGAAAAGATCCCTTCTGCCTTTCCTTTTTAAAATATTTTTAAACATACCAATTTATATATTTCTTAAATTTCCAAAATAAATATAAGAATACAAAATACTAATACAATCTAAAACACAGTGCACCCCCATACCTACAGGACCCTTGGGAGCAATACTTTTATTACGAACCTCCTTTCCAAAATTGTATTGATTATTGCTAAAAGGTGTTCCCCTTTCCTTTTCTTTCCAATTTCTTCATCACATTTCCAACAGGCCTTAGAATAGTCTGAATTTATTATGTTCAATTTCACCTGAGTCATGTACCACCTTAAACTATTTTTTTAAAATATTCCTTTATTCTTACCGATATTAATCTTAAAACTCTCATCTTCCAAATTTTTGTCCAATCCTCTGTCCTAATTTCTGTCTTTAAATCATGTTCCCAAATTGATTTTAAACCTTCTATTTCAGTCTCTTTTTTCTCTTGTTCCAAAACTAGGTTATAAATTCTACTTACTATTCCCTTCCTCAAAGCATCTTTCTGCATGTGATGATAGAAATTGTTCATACTTAGTACATTCTCTACATTTAGCATTAGTCTGTAACCATTCATTTGTCCAACTATCTAAATGGATATAATTATACTATGATAGTTTATTAGTTTGAAGTTTAACTATAATCTGCCTTTGTTTTTTTTTCTTTTTCTACCTCATATATAATGTTCAAAACTTGTCTAATTAAATTATCCATTTGTCTGCCCTTTATAAAGCCACATTGATCCTCTTTAATATAATTTGTTATAAATCTATTTAATTTATTTGTTAATATAGCAGTAAAATCTTAGCATCTTGATTTATCAGAGATATAGGTCTATAAGATCCCGGATCTGTTAGATCCTTGTTGGGTTTTGGAATAAGAATCATTAATGAGTGTTTCAAAGAAGGTGGCATTGTCTCTCCTTCCAATATTTTATTATAAACATTTTTAGCTTAGGTATCAAAATGGAACTAAGATTTTTATAATATTCTGGATCCAATCCATCAGGGCCTGGTGTTTTACAATTTCTCAGTTTATTAATGACTTCAGCAATTTCTTCTTCTTTAATCTCGTCTTCTAATATTCTTTTATCACATTCCAATAATTTAGTTTTTAAATTCTCATTTATATAATTTTCTATATCCTCTTTCAGTGCATTGTTTCTTTATATGATTTCTGATAAAACTCTTGAAAAATCTTCAATGTATCTTTCATGATATTACACCTCTTGCCTGTTCTATCTTTAATTACCCCAATCATGTTTTTAATCTTCTATTTTTGCACATTCTATCTAATAATTGTGAGTTTTTATTGCTAAATTCAAAAAAAATCCTCTTTATATACATCAAATGCTTTTTGCCTTCCTCCTTTCCACACAGCCACATATCAAAACTTTTCTACACTGTCAACTGTAACTGAATTAATTTCAATAAAGATGTATTCTAGTTAAGAATCTAGTTTATGTGCAGTTTATCATATTCTGCAGAGATATAAGTGCAACATGACTGAGTCATGGTCCTCATTATACATAATCTGAAGGTCTGAACATTTTTGCTTTTGGGAAAATTATAATGCATCTTTATGTGACCTATTTTTCCTATGCTTGAAAACCATTTTGAGTCATATTCCCTTCAAAATCCCTTCAGAGCTTTTTCTCATCCTACTTGCAACAGCATGCAATATGAGATGGAAAGTTACAAGGACCATATTCTGAATCATATTCTCAGTCCAAAAGCTCTCTCTTCCATATGCAAAAATAATTCATATCCACTGGGCTAATGCCTCTTGTTCGCCCAAACTGAGAACCGTTAGGAGCAAAATATAAGGAAAGGCATTCTATCAGTTCCATTAAATCTAGTGACTATTGATTTATCTGGGATCTGACACCTGTCACCCACAGTCTTCTAACTTCCAGTGAACTATAATGTGAATTATAATGCCCCCTCTATGTATTGGTAGTGTAGCATATTCAAAAGGCACATCAGTTAGAGAAACTGATTGTCCTCTTAGATTTGGTGACATAACTAGGGTCCTTTAATATGGTTTCTTAAGGCTACAAGCTGTACAGTTGATACCATCATAAGAACTGCCACAGCTCCATCCTCCAGAATTCTGGAATTTGTAGTTTGGTGAGGTACAGAAAATTCTCTGCTAGAAAACTCCAGTGCTGTAGTTTGGGGGACTGAATGAAAGTCCTCTAGCTGGGAATTCCAAGTACTTCAGTGAACTACAAAACCCAGAATGCAGAACCAAGGCTGTTAAATTGTATGAAATTACTATAATTGTGTATTGTAGACACACTCCATTGGATTTCAGAATACTGATATGTATCATGTGGAACATGATGCTGGATGATCATGAAAATGGTTTCCTCATTTTAATAGCTAAAGTGAAGTACATACTTATTCTTTGTTTCCTCCAGGGAACACTACACTGAAGGTATGGTTTCTGCCTTCCCCCCCCCGCCCCCATTTATCCTTACAAAAATATTGTGATGTAAGTAAGATGGATGGATAGTGAATCACACAACACCTGCCAGAGAGCATCACAGGGGACATGAATCCATGTTTCCCCAGCATAAATCCAATATTCTTTCTTGAGTTTTCCCATGCTGTGTTTTAAATATTTTTATACCTATTTTCTTAACTATCTATTCATCGTCATAATAACTCTGATGAATAACAATTAAACAGTTGTTGAAATAAAAATTTAAATGTCTAATAAAGCTCTGGTTATAAAGTCATGATGCAAGGTTATAAGTGAATATCATACCATACACATAGAAAACAGAAGGCCAGCCAGTATATTGCACTAAGATCCCAGCCAGTGGCATTGCAATGACAGCACCTGCATAGGAACCTGTAAAAGAAGATAAACATTCATCACTGGAAATGCTTACTGAGGTAGCATCAGCAGTGAAATTCAAATTACATTTGTTTTAGTCTTATATTCGAAGCATATCAGGTCAAAAGATGAAGGAAGGCAATAATGAAGAAAACATTTGACATTTCTGAAGAAAACTGTTCTCTCTTTTCTGTTTAAGCGTTATTGATGGCTTGTTTTATTATTATTTAAATTGTGTTTAAACTTTGATGTATTGTTTTTGCTAGGGATGTGTGGAAGACCATGATTGACTTTGTGCCTGACCACTGAAATCGTTTAGTGGGAGATTCAAAACAGAGTGGGGGGGAATGCTTTTTCACAAAGCACAAAAATTGTAAAATTCTCTGTTAATGGTATCTTGGATATTTTTATATGGAGAATGTATAAATAACGGCATTCCGTGTCTAGTCGTGTTGACCACGTGATCACTGAAACTGTCTATGGACAAAATGCTGGCTCTACAGCTTGGAAATAGGGAAGAGCAGTGTGCCCTAGAGTCGGACACAACTGGACTAAATGTCAAGGGGAACCTTTACCTTTACCTATAAATACATGAAGGTTTGGGCCTTCTTGGTGTGTATATATCATTTTCAGTATCCCTGGCAGCATTATTAGTTGTTAGGGAATATGGAATGAGTTGCAGTTACTCTTGTGCCTTTCCAACAGGCCTCTGTTTGAACAAAATGCTGGATTAGCTGGATTGTTGGTTAGACCCAATGGATCTTATTGTATTGCTAAATAAAACAATCTTTAACTTTCAAAAATATGTAGGGGTCTCATTTGAGATCCATCTGGCTCCTTTATTAGCTCAGAAAGCATTAACTATATTAAAATGTGCATCTACATTCTTGACTTTTCCTAATACCTGTTTTAGCACCCACAGATTAAATGCCAGGAAAATCGTAAATTGGTATGTGGTACTAAGCAAACATTTAACATTATTGGTTTGCCACCTTAGAATTTAGTTCTGATTGATGAATGAATCCAAGCGTATTTCCATAAATCACAGTGTCAGAGTTTAGGAATAATTACTCAAATTTCCCATTTTTGTTCACAGGTTACAAAAGTGTGAACCTGCTATTCTGAACTCCTTGATTTCTGGAAACTAATCCCACTGCAATCAATAGGTGTGAAACCTGATGATGAAGTGGAGGAGAAGTGTGCGATTTATGTCAAAGACTGTTAGAGAAAAGAGAAAATAAAACATTGAACAACGCACTTACCACAGAAGGAAGTAGTTGCCAGTCTACTTCTCTCTAAAGGAGGTGCCCATTTGCTCCATATTCCATGGCAGGCTGGATAAGTGACACCCTGTGAAGTAGGTTGTTTTGTTAAATACTGTACCTGCTGCAACTAGCACAAAACAGATTAGTATCAGGAATAATAAGGAATAGTCTTCAGTAGGTGAGATGCTGACTCCAGATCTAGAAGCAGTACACTCTTAAGACTCTCTGTTATTCTAATACAGGCTTACCACAATTGACATTAGGCAACTACAGTAGCTTGCTTTTCTTTCATAACTGGTCAGTTGGGAGATAGCATGACTTTGTTTGATTCTCTGATTTCTTAGACATATAGTACTGAAAGATTTGCATGCCTGGAAAGGTAATAATGTAGGAGGAGGAAATCTATGGTTGTGTTAATATGTGCCCCAGCTCACAGCTGCATGAAATTTGGAGACATTTGTAAGATTACATGCATTCAGGGAAACATGTGAGGAACGGCCTCACAATGTTACATGGAAAATAATATTCTGGAGGGAAGTACCTCTGCGTATGGAGGTTTTCCACAAGATTCTGAATGCATGAAAATCAGCAAAATTTTGGCATGTAATATAAGACACATTTTGGACCCCTAGAGTGTGGCAGTGGCAGAATTTGTCAAAGGTAGAGACTCCCTTCAATTGGGGAATGAAAACATTGGGGAATGAAAAGGTGTTTCCCCTCTTTTCTTTGCAAGCCTCAGCAATGAATCCAACCAGGGGTAATTTCATCTGCTACCTTTAACATAGCTTTCAGATAAGGCAGCATGAGAGTGTTAGCTGGACCAGGAATTGATTAATTGTTGACTAAAGTTTCTGTTAGGCAATTCCAGGATCAGCAGACTTTTCCTGATTCCTGACAGTTGTCCGAGGGCACAAGTGGATATCTCTTGTCTAGAGATGGTTGCCAAGTTTTCTTTCTCGTGATTGTGTGGATTTATGTGACTCATTTCACTCCCGTTCTATCCTGCCTTGGCCATTCATAGTACTCAAGATTAACATTCCCAGATGGTCTCCTATCCAGGCACTGACAAGAACCAAGTCTGCTTAGCTTCGACCTGATTGTGCCATCAGACCCCATCAAAAAATAAATAAATAAATAAATAAAATCCATCAGACCCCATCAAAAAATAAAAATCACAAATCCTTAGAACTGTAGAACTAGAACAGACCCCAAGAGTCCTCTATAAAACTCTACACAGCTTGGATTCAGGCTATTTGAAGGACTGTATATCCCCCTTTTCAGATCTTTGTGAGAAAATTTTCCATCTGTCCCTCCAGATGCATTCAGTGAAGATATAAAAAGATGGCCTTCTTTGGCTGTAGAACTCCTCAAAGGGGAGACTAGACTGGCTTGTCTCCCTGGGGTTCCTCTTCTGACAGGGAAGAACTGGTTTATTTAGGAGTCCTTTGATGACTGACTGGTTGTTCTATAAAGTTTTTTTTATCTGTTGTATTTTTAAATTGTTTTTAAAGTGTTTTAGTTTTGTACTATATTTCTAACATGACAAATTATTTAATTTGAATGCAGTATTATCATTTACTGTGTTTTAGCTGTGTATGTTTTCAATTCAGTTGTATATATTGTTAAAATTCCTGTTGTGGAGTGCCTTGGGTTCTGCACCAGACAAGGTGGGAAATGAAAAATAACATAAAATAAAATATTTATAGTTCAAACCCCTGCCAATATAATAAAAACATATCATATTCATAAATATAAATATGAATACGGTTGTTATATGGGCTCTATACTTCTGGCCTCATACTAGGAACATCTTTCAACAGTTGATTGTAATTTTCCTAAATATTCTAGAGAGAAGAATGTTTATAGAGCATTAAACCTTTTGTCATTTAATAATTTAATTGTTGGTTGCTAATTAAGAGGCTTAAGTCTGGGAAACTGCTGACTATCAGAGGAACACAGAGCCTTCATTCTTTCATGCTGTTGCTACTATATTAAAATAAACATAGATAAATGTCTATATCAAGAAAGGAAAAAAGTGAATTAATTATATTCAATGAATTTTTATTTAATGAACTCCTCTGAAGGAATATATTTGATTTTCTCAGAATGAGTAACACTTTTTATTTTAAAAACTTTTAAATTTTAAAAAATCTTTTATTTATCAAGGGCTGATGTACTATAGTCTTCTCCTTTAAAAAAAAGAATCTCAGCTAATCAACTATTTTGGTCATGCCCCATTCCACTTTGACTATCTTGGGAGGTGGCTCTCAAGAAGCCAGCCAGTCTTGTTCACAGTGCATTTGTTCACCCTGGTCCATCCCCATACTCCTTGTGCCTATTTAAGAAGACAGAAGCTTTTTTTTTCTCCCTTCGTTCTTTACTGGAGTTCTCATATCTTTTTACCAGCTTTTGTATATCTTCCGAATGACTTCCCACCAATACATTCATATGCAGCTCCTATAGTGCATACTTGCCCGAGCAGGCCCTCAAGGGCAGCCCTTATGTAGAGGCTGAAACAGAGAAAAAATGTTATGTTGAGGGACATAATGTGGAACAAGCCCTTCCTCCTGTTCCAGTGCACTGGGGAGCTCTTTTCCATACCTCAACAAGACCTTGCAAGATTCTGACGAAGATGACACATCCATAATGCACTCGAGCTGCAGATGGAATTAACATATTGAGAGTGGACGTCAGTAGGATAGCTGCACCAAACACCCTGGAAGAAAAAAGAAAAGCAATGGGATGTGGTCCTGTTTAAAATTGTCCTTACATTATAACAATTATTGATCTGTCTTTTTATATTTCTGTTCTCTGTGAAACAGAGAAACTAATCAGATTTGTTCCTCTCCTCAAAAAAAGCCAACAACTGTTCCCCCCACAAAAAAGAGAGAGCCTGCTTTAAGACAGGTGAGGACTATGATTTCATATAGGATCACAGAATATTATTTTAGATTTACCCCAAATGCACACAAACCCCATCTCTCCAGTTACAGTCTGCAGAGCTTATAAAACTGATTATTTGGACAACAGTTCCAAGAAGAAGCAGCCCAGGGAATTTGGGGAACTGTAGCCCCTCCAAAAAATAGTATTGCTCCAATCTCAACTGAAATGAACTAAAGATCAAAAGGTGCTGTGTGAACCATCAGGAGAAACAAAATTGTGGACTCGGCAATAGCTTTACTGGATCACTAAAAAGATACTAATAAGAATTTTCTTTAAAAGTGTTGTATATTTCTTGTGTGGCGGAGTGGGGAGAAACAAGTCCTCAGATAAACAGTTTAACTTCCTTTTGAAGTAACCACACTAGTGCATTACTTTACTTACATTTTGATACCTATCTATTGAGTGGGTAAGTCAAATGAAGACTTAACCACTAGAAATGTGTTTAGGACATAGAGACACCGCATATTCCTAAAACAGGGTGATTCTCATCAACTAGCCTTTACACTCAACTATCTTAATAGCTGTCTCCAAAACTCAAAGTGGACCATTTTGTTTCTTATATAAGCACCCCTTGAAACATGGGACTCATCTCAGACTTCTGTAAATAGCTTTTCCTGGAAAATATCTATTAACCATAAAATCCAACTGATGAAGTACCATCCACCTATCCTGAACTATGCAAAGGCAAGAGTTTCACAACTGATGTCCATTCAGCAGTCCCATTGGGCATTCTATTTAATCATTCCTGTAATCATGCCATATGATTCATTACTTGAGAATTTATAGCTGAAACTGAGGTTCCAGATCAAATGCATTGGGTTCAATGTAATGTTAAGTGACATGAAAATCTGTCAAAGGTGCTTGATCTTCTGATATCTGATTGAGACATGCAGATGTATGCAATACATACATTATCACTTGATTCTGAACCAGAAAGACATATGTTGGAAATCAAATTTCTATCGAGAATTGAAGAAATTTTGAAAATGTCTTTAAAGCAGAGTGTCTACACTGCCCAGGTGCCTGAAGAATATATGAAAGAAAGAAAATGTGTTGCCTTTATCAAGAAATTGTAGTAGAGTGGTGGTCTTCAACAAACAGTCACTCTTATCTTGAGATGAAATTGTGTTTTGTTTTGTTTTCCACTCATTAAGATCAAGAAACAGGAGATATTACTGAGTATGGAGCATGCTTCCAGTATATGCTTCCCATGCATCTATTTATACACAAAAGGAGACACAACTTCTGGAGCTGGAAATAGGATTGATTTTGTTTGAAAAGACAGACAAATGACTTAAGGCAGCTGTGCAGGAAAAGGTCACTTGGTCCATGGAGGATGCTCCACTGAGATGGGCCTCCATTTCACTCTCCCATTATTAATACATCCCTTCAAGCTGGCTCTGTATAAACAATGTCTCTCCCTTAACTTCCCTCCCTCCCCCCTTCTCCTCAGTTGAGAGAGAGAGAGAGACAGAGAGAGAGAGAGAGAGAGAGAGGCTGACTGTGTGATAAAGTGCATACACCTATGTTTGACAGCTTTCTTTCACAAGTTTCCTGCAGCTTTTTTTTCTTCCTAGATTAACTGTTTTGGCCTGAATTCAATGTTTATTTTAACATTCAGCTTGTATTTTCTGGATGATGAATGACAGCAAAAATATGAATGGCTCATTTCCTAGCATTTTGTTCTTAATCAATTTCCGTCTGTACATTTAACCTCATAGGAACATCTGTCTTTACATGTGTGTTCATTTACTAGTGGATATATCTGGCATTGTCTGGGTTAGAAGCCCTTCAATTCCACACTATATCACTTCATTGCTCTCTTTCTCTTCTTCCCCTGATCCAGCTTCTTTTTCTTGCTGGACCTCTTCTGTCCTCCATCCCAGGACTTTCTCAGCCCAGTACTCACTTCACTGCTCACTTCTGCTCATGAGGAAATGTAGCACCCTACTTAGATATATGAGGATACCAATCTCACAACTGCATCCACCTAATTATTACAGTGAAAAGAACCGAGTTTTCAGAATACATAGTTTGCATCACAATGTATCATCACCCAATCCAGTTTTTCAAAATATTGAATAGTGTACACATTGTTGTATGAGAAAATGAAAGAAAGGGCATTAACTGAAGATAGAGGGCAACAGATGAACTTGTTCGCTCAGCAGCCAGAGACAAACAGTGGGCCTGCAACATTTTGGACAAGCAGATGTTTCTAACCAGTTTTGAAAGGCAGGCCCAAATAGTTTTTCATCCTACAACATTTGTGAGTCCTCAATCTTCACTCTTTCCAAGCATATTTAATGAGAAGGCCTACTTTAATCTCAAATTTCAAGTGTGCATTCTAGAATATATTTCCTCAGAAATAAGCTCAACTACATCAGCAGTATTTTCCTCCAGGAAAACCTGGATACGACTGAAATCTTGATGGAAGTATGAAATGTGAATCCTCAGAACAGGAGAAGCTCTGTGGCATTCAAAATGCATCCAAGAAATAGAGTGGCATCGTTAGGGAAATTTAAAAATATTCTCTGATAATCTGACAGCAGATGGAGCAATTGCTTCACTAAATGCTACTATGAGAAGAACAGTTCCTTATGCCAAATAAATCATATTTTAAACTGAGGTAGGTTAAATATAAATGGAATTTCCAACTCTGGATGGCAAATTCACATTATTTTTAGTCATGAAGGCAGGCATTCATGACATCTCAGAACTAGAACTAGGACAGTTCTAGACAAAGATATCACCCTTTGTTAAGTGAGGAGGTACGTGTTTCTGTAATTGGAAAAGCACTTCTTGTGTCCTGATTCCCTTATGTTTTTTTTTTACCCATTGGATTAGGAATCTTTTGACATTTATCTGCTAAGCCCTCCTGAATAGATGAATAGATTCCCAAATCACTAGGCAGCAAAAATCTTTAGGATTCTTTGAATTTTGGATAAGCACTTAACTGTTAGCCATATTTTGTATTTCTCCCCACCTACTCGCACCAGCTTTCTCCAGATTCCTCTAAGAATTCACTGTGGGATTCGTTCTTTTAATTAATCTCATTTTAGTCCCGGCTAGAGTATACTCATTGGCCAGAATCCTCTTAGTTATGCCTACCAGACTTTCAGTCATGAACTGCTGCAAATTAAGAAGCCAGCACAGAAATTTCCTATTGTGTATTAGTCACATGACTCACTGTAGAATAGGGGATGCCTACACCAACTCTGGCAATCCACTGCTGAGAGTTATACTAGAGGAGTTAAGAAGCAGAAACATGCAATAGGATCCTGACCATTGAAAACAATAGGACTTATTTATTGACTAGTTAAAATTCCATCTTGCATTTCTACCTGTAATACAGAAATCTACATCCACAATCACAGGTATAAGCAACTTGTCCACTTGGGTTCCCCCAGTCTGCAGCTGCTTCCACCTCAGGTACAGCTATATTATTTTATTTCCTATGCTCTCAGCATTCTAGTTGATCAGAGATACACAGGAGATGGTTTTCTATTGGACAGTGCTGTCTGATATCATAACCCAAGATTGCTTCTGCACACCTCTGACCATTCAGAATTAGGGAAAGGTGAGGCTCTGCAAGGCTTTTCACCAATGAAAATGGCTGTTTGTGGTTGAACTACCTTCCTCTGCTGACTAGAGCAAAGCAGATCAGCTGTGAACTCCACCTGGACATGGTGTGCCTATCTGGGGATGGGAGGAAAGGAGAGGTGGATGGGAACGAAGTAAAGAGGTGTGCTGGAATAAAATGAGATTTCATTGAGTAATACCTTTATGAGCTTAAATGTGATTACTAAAATTAGGGAAGAAGATGGGAGAAAATCAGCATTGCTAGAAACCAGTTCCATCTACTATTACATTTGTCTGTGCCCAAGACACATTTTAGCTCAAAATGTGCTCTGTTGCTTTACATAGTGCATGTCCCTGGACAAGACTGTCATGAAAGCAAACAAGATAGAGGACTGTGACATGTCTTTTTAATGGTCACACTTTACTCCCGCAGGTGTAAGTCAAGTGGTCTAAAACTCAGGTTCTATTACTTTACTCCCACAGGTGTAAGTCAAGTGGTCTAAAACTCAGTGGCAAATTGTCACAAGTTAAGAAGTGAGTGGTTATAGTTCTATTTACACACCAGTAATATGACCTCTTATGCAATAAGAACACATGCAGACTTCTTAGTAAGTGACAGTTCATTGCTGCTGGTATAAATATTCAATTGAATTGTTGTCATTACATTTTTATTTCTTGTCCTCTGCTTCATTTTGTGTTTCAGTATGTGAATTTATGCTGAGTTTTACTTGTATTTCTGTTCAATCTTCTTTTAACATTTGGTTGACCACGTTGCTCAGTGGGGAGTACTAAAATTAGCTATGGGTGTGTTCCAGCCCCCATAACTACCTGCACCAGAAAGAAAATCTGAGGGAAATCAGATTATGTTGTTCAACACTCTCCATGTACTTGGTAACTTATGCCTGGATCCAAGCTAGATCCAGTGTTGATCCTAGTACTGTGCCACTGAAAACCTGAAAACCTTCCCCTTAAACCTCTTCTAGGAACACCAGGAACCAGAAAAATGCAATACTCTAAGGAACCATAGAATATGTATTTCTTGTGAAATCTGTTCCTGCATATGCATTCTCATGAAAACCATACAGGGACCATGGGAAACATTTTTGTAAGACTTCTGACAATCATGTATGCTCTTCAATCTTTGGATCACCTCTCTCTCTCTCTCTCTCTCTCTCTCTCACACACACACACACA